AGGTATATACACTGACCAGCAATGTAACAGAGGTATAAACACTGACCAGCAATGTAACGGAGGTATAAACACTGACCAGCAATGTAACACAGGTATATACACTGACCAGCAATGTAACACAGGTATATACACTGACCAGCAATGTAACAGAGGTATAAACACTGACCAGCAATGTAACGGAGGTATATTCACTGACCAGCAATGTAACGGAGGTATATTCACTGACCAGCAATGTAACGGAGGTATATACACTGACCAGCAATGTAACAGAGGTATATACACTGACCAGCAATGTAACGTAGGTATATACACTGACCAGCAATGTAACGGAGGTATATACACTGACCAGCAATGTAACGGACGTATATACACTGACTAGCAATATAAAGGAGTTTTATACACTGACTAGCAATATAAAGGAGGTTTATACACTGACTAGCAATATAAAGGAGGTTTATACACTGACCAGCAATATAAAGGAGGTTTATACACTGACCAGCAATGTAATGGAGGTATATACACTGACCAGCAATGTAATGGAGGTATATACACTGACCAGCAATGTAATGGAGGTATATACACTGACCAGCAATGTAACGGACTGTCCAGGTGAATCCCGGACAGGTGGCAACCACACGCCTATGTGCATATATGTGCCAGCCAGCCCGATGTCCTGTGCTGAGAGTGCGCTCCCACAAAGGTGACCGAGATATCACTGGCTGACATCCTCAGGCACCCCTGGCAACTTCAAAATGTCTAACAAACCATGGAGTATTTCTTCTTTCAGATGCCAACCCAAAACCCGAAATATTAGTTTTAGGCGGCATTGCCCTTTAAGGGTCACGTGTCTGTGTAAGTCGGCTATAATTACTTGCTCAGTAAGGGTGACTACTTACCATTATCATGCTCTTGTTGCATGGCACCCTCATATTCTGTAGTGTTGTACAATACAGGGAGATGACATAAGACGCCAATACATGACCTGTACTGTGAAAGCTTAGGGAGGGTCCTGCCCGCAAGAGCTTACAATCTAATGGGCGCAAATGAAATCTTGCATCACCATTGCACTTCCTTCATTGGTATTTCCCTTTATTTTCAGCCCGTTTGATAGCAACAAGATCCTGTCCACGCCCGGGCTGAGCAGCAAGCTGTCGTCAAGCGTCCGGAAAGTGTCCGTGTACCACTGGACTCCGCCCAACACGCCCAGCTTCCGCGACAAGTTCTGCCCCGTGAGTATCATCGGCATAATCCTTCCAGCCACCCGCTCATAGAGTGCATAGAGTTGGAGTGCCATGCAAAATCGACCAATGGCTGTTGTGATCTCGACATCTGAATGCAGCTAATATAAATACCTGGATATGTCTTGAGATTAGCCCTCTGTACATCAGCACTCAGAACACAACAATAGGGGCTAATCAGGTGTCCTCATTGCCAGAGCCGTAGCTTGCTCTTTTTGCGCCCGAGGCAAGAACAGACAACTGTGCCCCCCCCCAGCAGACATGTGCGGTATGTGACATCATGCGCCCCGCCTCCAGGATGGCAGCA